TTTGCAGGATAATCTTGTCTGCTTTTCTCTGTGATCCATTAACTAACTGGATTCATTTCCTAAATACCGCTGCTGCCTGTTCTGTTTAAAGATTACTTTCCTTGGGAGTTCCTGACAGATAAACTCATTCTGCTAGGAGGCGTCTGAAATCTATTCGCAGGTTTCACCTTTGGTTGGGACATAGGAAGTCTCTTATACCGGGTCAGATGGTTAGTCTATTTAGATCAGTATTTATAACCTTGTGGGCAACCTAGCAGCAGCGTGCCAATAGTGGGCAGGACCAGGCAAAGGTGCTGCTAATGAGAACCCACTCCACGAGTTGCCGCCTATCAGACACGCAACAACTGTGTCACCATTGAGAGACTGTCCTCGCCTGATCGTAATGTTTGGGAAGAAGAAAGAAGAAGAAGAAGAAGGAGAAGAGTTTGGATTTGATATTCCGCTTTATCACTACCCTAAGGAGTCTCAAAGCGGCTAACATTCTCCTTTCCCTTCCTCCCCCACAACAAACACTCTGTGAGGTGAGTTAGGCTGAGAGACTTCAGAGAAGTGTGACTAGCCCAAGGCCACCCAGCAGCTGCATGTGGAGGAGCGGGGACGCGAACCCGGGTCACCAGATTACAAGTCTACCGCTCTTAACCACTACACCACACTGGGAAGTAGGTGGTCCATCAGATGCCCATGTTGGGCTTAAGATGTCAAATCAATCACCTTGACTTTGGCAGCCGGTGCCATTCCTTCAGAACTGGTATTGTATGTTCACAAATTTTGTGGCTTCCAATGTGCCCATTGCCACATATCAACCTGCAGAGTAGTTTGGGAGACAATCGGACATGTCCCTGTGGAAATAAGTGACAGCTTGGTGTCCTAGTGTGGCACATTTGCAAGACATTTTGCTGATAAGATCCCTCCTTTCCGGTGAGATGTGAATGCCTTCTTAATCTGTGAAGGTATCATGAGCCTCTTGGAGGTGTTATTTCAGCCAAAGGATGGGGAGAGGAGCCTTGGAACTGTTTGGATGACAGGCCTTTGTCCTGGCTCCTTGCCTGTCTGAACAGAGGGTGCAACTTGCACCAAATTTTGAGTCCACTACCTTCCAGTACACTTTTAAAAATTATTTTATTATTTGCATTTATTCATCACTTTAGGCAAACAAATGTCTCAGAGACACGTACAACTTCCTGAAATGCAAAACTGAAAAAAATGAACAATCCAACATTTGAGTTCAATAGACCTGGTTCTTTGGCTGCTGTACTTTGCCCTGTGTTCTCTGCCTGATTTTGTTGTATCTCCAGCCCTCTGAACCTGGATTATGTGACTGCTGTGAGCCTTTAACTTTTTTTGGTGCTCATCAGAGACGCCTACTTCTCAAAAACATTGTGGGGGGCCAACGCAAGTTTCTGACGTCACATGCATGATGTCACATGGAGCCAGGGGTGGAGTCGAACATGGTGGCAGCACGGTCCCAGTGACTGGCAGCCCCCCTCCTCCCCCTCCTCTTGCCACACAAGGGAAAGATGGTGGAAGCTACTCCTAGACAGTAGTGGTGGCAGCAGCAGCTGTTGACCACTGAGCCCTGCCCTGCCTGGCTCCATGTTCACCCTCTGAAGAGAGAGGTTTTATATGAATATTAACATGCAGCTTTTTAAACAAGGCTATGCCTGAGCCACTGCTTGTTGCATCTGTGCAGATTGGCCTGCACTGTAACTGACTGCAGAATTTCCATGCTACCGGATGTGTGAAATGTCTTGTTGGTCTGGAAAAATACCCCAGGGCTCAGTTTCCCAGTGATGATCTCGTCCCCTTTGTTTCACTCCATTTCTGAAATCATTCTCCCCTCTAGCACTGGAGGGCAGTTAGCAAAGAGAGAATATAGTTCTGCTAATGTCAACGCTCGGTGATTCAGCCAAGAGCACAATGACAACTGTCTGTGACTCTGCTTTGCATCACAATGGCCTTTGGTCATTGACAGATGCCACATGTCACAGATGTCACTGTTTAGGAACAAGGTTCTATACATTAATTGATAGATTAATTAGCCAGAAAATGATGTTGTTCTGACAGAACAATCTGGCTTGTTAGAATGTAAAAAAATGGGCATTATAAAAACAAGGTCCCTTGTTAACATTGCAGTCATGCTTCTCCTTTTGTCTTGCAGCATTAAGGCTGATCTCATGGACTCCTTTTACAAAGGCTGATATGCAAAGGTGCTTTTCTCTTGCCCCTGGCTGGCCTTCCTTCTACTTCCAACATTTGCAATATTGAACTCTTAAATACATTGCAGAAAATAATTGTGGAGCACTATAGGAGCCAACTCCTAGGGGGTCAAGGTCCCTTCCCCCCCAATATTTCAGGGGTCAGCCTCTTCCCCAAAGTTGATAGGCATTGCTATTCAAATGGTGTGCATGTGCTGTGTCATGTGATCAATTATGCGGGGTGGGGCTTACCTCCCCCCCATATTTTATTCACGTTTTATGCACCCTTGTGTAGCACACTACACCACTGAGCACAGTAATATTAAGCAGAATGCATAAGTACTGTGTTGAGCAACAAGCCTCCTTTTCTTCTGAAACTGCCTGTATTAATTTGTCTTTCGCAGTGTGGTTCAGTGTCCAAATATATCTGCTATGATTTGGCAGAGTAGGGCCAGTCAGCACATATCTCCATGTGTCTTTCTTAACCAGTGCTATTTTTCTAGAAAAGAGGTGCCGGAATTCACAATGAACACATCGCTGTTTCTCTTAGAATGGCAATGGCACTCACCTGAGAGGTTCCAGAACCCACCTAAGAGGTACCAGAACTGAGTTCCTGTGCGTTTCCCTGAAAAAAGCCCCATTCTTAACCCCAAAAGGTCTGCATCACACTCTTCTGAGATTTAATACTTACCCAGTGGCCAATGGTCAGGGATGATGGGAGCAACATCTGGAGGTTCTCAAGCCCTCTTTTAGGGCGTTGCCATTGACTTTAACCAGTCAATGGCATGTGGAGAACAATAATATCAATTATCTGATAACATGATTCTGATTGTTAGATTGTTGTGTAAAATGGAATAAAATGTAGGTACAGTACAACAAAGGTCATAGTTTTGTTCTTTTAATGAAAAGTTTTTTATTTAATCAGAACCTTGGCATGGTTGCCTTTTGTAACACTGTGAATAAAACCGATAGATGAATAAAAATTTACTTAATTGATTTTGTTTTTGATTATATTGGAGCTAATTTTATTTCCACTTAGAAGTCAGCAATAATGCCAAATAATTCCAAATGCAGCAAGGCAGTTCCTTCAAAATTATGCTGGTTGTTTTTAAGAAACAATATCCAATATAAATTGTTATCCCCTCCCCCCGCCCCAAGAATCGGATTGGGGAGAGAAAGGAGGGAACAAAATCAACAAAATACATAGGTGGAGGGGTAGCCGTTGGGAACTAGGAAACGCAACAGATTGCAGAAAGAATGAAATTGATTAATTTCTTATTTCTCCCCCCAAAGTCAAGAAAATGCAAAGTAGAAGAAAACAATGGTATACAAATTGAGACAGTCCCAGCACATGAAGATTATACAAATAAGATGAATTTTAATTCATTACCAGAACATTTTATAGACCTTCTGCTATTGTCTTGAACAAGAAAGAGGTTACAGATAATGACACATTGCTGCACAGGCTACAAAAGCACCTTAGCACATTTCCATTTGCAATTCTTAGCATTTGTTAAGGTCGTGAGTGCACTTCACATCTAAAGCTCATTCAAAGCACATTCTCTCCCTCAAAGAATTCTGAGCACTGTAATTCACCCCATGCAAAGTTACAATTCCCAGCAACCCTTAGCAAACTACGGTGCCCAGAATTGTAGGTATTTTCCATGAATTTGTTCAAAACTCTTTTAAAGGCATCCAAGTTGGTGGCCATCATTGCCTCCTGTGGGAATAAGTCCTGTAGTTTAACTATGTGCTGCATGAAGAAGGACCTTTGTTTGTCTGTCTTGAATTTTGCAGTATTCAGCTTCATTGTAAGTCCATGAGTGTTACATTATGAGACAAAGATTTATTTATCCAGTTTCTCCATGCCATTCTTAATTTTATAATTTTCTGCCACCTCTTACTTGCCTTTTCTCTGAACTAAACTGTCCCAATTGCTGCAATTGTTCCTCATAGGGGAGTCACTCCACCCCCTTGATAATCTGGCTGCGTTTTTCTGAACCCTTTCCAACTCCACAATATACTTTTTTTGTGATGAGGTGAGTGAGAAGTGGGAGTCCAATGGTTTGAGTATACCCCAGCCTTTCCTCGTGGATAATCATAGATTTGGAAGGGACCATGAGGTCTTGTTGGGTTTTTTAAGTTATCTATTAATTGACTTGTCCATTTGACAAATCATCCCTTTGGCATACCCCCCCCCCATCGACTGCCTCGCTACCACAAACTATTTCGCTAGTGTCATCTTCCAATGATGTGTTGACGAATCATTCAAACACAACACTACCGGATGTTCTCATCTAATGGAGATACCTTGAAGTTTTGGAATGGCATGAGGGATACAAAATTTCTTGAAGGCCACAGACTTTTTAATGTCAGTGTTGTTTTTTAAATTCAATTATTCGACTACAGTGTTAATAGTTTTTAAGCAGTGTACAATGAGGTTATAAAATATATGCGGAAAGATAGAAATAGTTATTTTTTTTTTTAATTTTTTAATTGGTTTTTCACATTTTATAAAGACATAACACACACGTAAAAGACAAAGACAAAAAACATGTATAATTTCAAAATCTTACTTTCTTAACTTTGGTCCTTGACTTCCCCCACCCCCTTCATACATCCCAATTCCCATAATTATGTCAGCAAGTTATTATTTTACCTCCTTACCCTGTTAATATTACATCTTTTGTAGAAGATTAAATTCTATCCTAAGTTGGGCTCAGATTCCCTTCCATCGATTTCCCTATTTTTATGAAGCATCAATCAACTTGACTAGACCCAAAAATCGTAAGTGTTTTTAAAATTCTATTTTCCCCCTCCCATCCCCGGTTCGTCCCTTCCCAAGTACATTTCTACAATAGCAGTTCTTAGCCTGGATTTCTCACATCCAGAGGCCTTCAAGTCTCTTTCAGTCCCTCTCCGCCGGTTTTGTTGGTAGTCCTTTATGTTGGTCTTCGGATCTCGAAGGAGTTCTGTCCCAGTCAAGCCAGATTTTCTTCCCACAAGAAAACTTAGAGACAACTGCTGCAAAAGTTCCACCAGTCCTTCATATTCAGAATGGAGGCCCCCATCATATTTCTTCTTTCTTTTAAGTTCTTGAATTCCAAGTACTCCAGGGCCTCCTCCTTCATCTTTCGCATCTTTGCAGATTTGTAATCCATGTAATCCAAGGGTCTTCTTGTTTATAATCCACATGTGTAGGCTTCTGGTTGGTACTTTCCATCTGTGCTTTCTCCTTTCCTTGTTTAGTCTCCTTCAATTCTTGAGATATCTGTTCCGGTTCAGCTGCAGATTTTTTCTCATTCAGATCCTCAATACATTCAGCAGAGCTGCTTATTCCAGAAGTCAAGGTCGTAAGTTGTTTATTCATAGCCAGACTCTGCTCTTGTAAAGTTCCCACAAAGTAACACATTCTTTCTATTTCAGCTAGTAAATTTCCATCCGCAGCCATTGTAATGTCTCAGAATTCCCCCTAGAGGGACTCAGGTTCCTTAGTAATCTTTTCCCCACAGTCCTATGCCTCGTTCTTTGTTTCTTTGTTTCGAACCACTTTAATTCAATTGTATCACATTTAGTCCAGGAGATCTTAAATAACACGCTTTTTACTTTAAATTGCCCGTTTGACAGCTTTAACAGCTGTCAAACTCCTTTCCTCTTCAACAGGCTCAAAGGCAGGACGCTCCCGGGCCCGGAAGGGGGGGGTTACACACCACAAGAAAAACTTCTAAAATTCCACTCTTACACTCCAGCTCAAAACTTCTTTTATCAAATCGTGAAAGTTAATGTCTTTTAACTCACCCCAAAGGGTAGACTCTCCAACTTAGTTCTCCTGCTATTGCTTTAAATCGTCTGCAGAAGGGGGTGCGGACTTCCCTTTAACACATCCCCGGTCGTATCAAATTCACAGATAGATATTTTAAAGTCCGAATTCCAATCTACTCACGGGTTGCTTCTTTTCGAGTTCCGATTTAAGGAAAAAAGTCAGTGCTCTTCAGCCATGGCACACGGCTCCGCTCCGCTGGGGTAGCGGTCTACTCCCAGCACCACGCCGCCTTCCGTACCCTCTCCGTAGCCTTTAAAAAGGCTCTTCGTGGGTCGGGGGGGCGCTTAAGGTGCCCACCGAGTCACCAGGTCCGCAGGCATCCGCGCCTGCGGTTTTTGAGGGTCCCCGCGTCGCCGTCGCGGCAAGACCCGTCCCCAGCGGAGCCGATTCCCTCCGGAGCTCGGAGAGAATCCGCCATTAGCTGTTCGCACCAACCCGGAAGTGATAGAAACAGTTAAAATTAACCCTAAACTCAGGGGCAGAGCAGTCTGCAGCAACTTATCATTGGGATATATCAAGAGAAGATATCTGACAGGACATCTCTGCAAAAAGAGCTAGGAATTTGGGACAGGGTTAGTTCAAAGTACTAAAGGACCCCTGGACGGTTAAGTCCAGTCAAAGGTGACTATGGGGTTGCAGCACTCATCTCACTTTCACGCCAAGGGAGCCGGCGTTTGTCCACAGACAGCTTCCCAGGTCATGTGGGCAGCATGACTAAACCACTTCTGGTGCAAGGGAACACTGTGACGGAACCAGAGCGCATGGAAATGCCATTTATCTTCCCGCAGCGGTACCTATTTATCTACTATTTATTTATTTATTTATTTATTTATTTATTTACTAACAAACTAACTAACTTACTAACTACACTGGTATTCGAAGAAGAAAATGAGTTTATTGAAATGTTAAACTGAATTGATTATAGTAATCTGGCGGCCCACATTTGATGCTGACATTGAGAATCTGATCTGTGAAAGATAGGTTGATATAACTTCTGAACCTAATCTTCTTATTGGTCGAAGAGCTGCTATGGTGATTTAGCCTTAAATCTGTAGTAGGTAACTTTATGACCAGGGTCTGAATATGGCACCATCTGCCCTCTCTGGAATCTCTCCAGGCTGCACCTGCTCCTCAGGCCACAGTTTTCATCCTTCTTGGGTACTTTGTCTGGTGGAATGTGTCCTTGGAACTATGATAGCACCTCTCACCGGCATTGAGATGTGGGTGTCCAAAACTCTGGCTTTTGCATGGTATGGTACAAAAGTAAGAGTAAGACCTGTACTCCACCCACTTCTGCCACTTCCTGTTTTGCCAGGCAAAAACATTCCTCTTCTCCCAGGCTTTTGACTAATTAAGCAATCTACATCCCTTTAAACTGTGGTGTATGTGTGTGTGTTATTGTTTCGTTTTGTTTGTTTTTATGTTATGTATTTTGTGTTTCACCCTGTGATCTTCAGATGAAGTGCAGTATAGAAATTTAATATGTAACAAGGCATACATACCGTATTTTTCGCCCTATAGGACGCACTTTTTCCCCTCCAAAAATGAAGGGGAAATGTGTGTGCGTCCTATGGGGCGAATGCAGGCTTCAGGAAGCTATCCGCAAACCTTGGAAGCCCGGCGCGACTTCCCTCGGGCTCCCAGAGCTTGCGGATGGCAGCCTGCGGGCTTTTCAGGGAGGTGGGGGAATTCCCCCATCTAGAAAAGCCAGGAGAAGCCGCGCGCTCTTTAAAGGGGTTGTGCGGCTTCTGCAGGCTTTTGCGAGAGGTGAGGGAATCCCCCCACCTCCCAGGAAAGCCAGGAGAAGCCGTGCAGCCCTTTTAAAGAGCGCACGGCTTCTGCTGGTTTTGCGGGAGGTGGGGGAATTCTCGCTTGGGAACAGCCTTCTTTTTTTTTTTTTTAATAATATTTATTAATTTTCCAACCGTTTAAACACAACAAAACAAAAAAACAAAAAGAAAAAAGACATAACACTAACAAAACAAGACACAAACCATTTAAAACACAAAACAATTTCAATATCTTATCTTATCTTTCATTCCCTTATTTCCACGACCTCCTCACACCTCCTTTTTGTATTCCACTTCTGTTAATTGTTTCAGCAATTCCTTTCCATCTTCCTCTGTTTTCTATCCTATAATTATCTTAACATATTCTAACCTTATTTTTCCCTTTAATACTCTATTAATCTATTTATACTTAATTCCTTATAACATTTCTACTAAAGCCATATAACTTCGTTCCAACATTTTCCTAACATTCATTATTTTAACAATATTTCTATAAATAGTCTTAAACTTTTTCCACTCTTCTTCCACCGACTGTTCTCCCTGGTCTCGAATTTCTGCCAGTCGTTTCCGCCAATTCCATATAGTCCATCAACTTCATCTGCCATTCTTCCCGAATAGATAAATCTTGTGTCTTCCAGTACTTCACAATAAGTATTCTTGCTGCTATTGTTGCATACATGAAAAAAGTTCTATCCTTCTTTAACACCAATTGGCTGACCATGCCCAGGAGAAAGGCCTCTGGTTTCTTCAAAAGGGTATATTTAAATACCTTTTTCATCTCGTTATGAATCATCTCCCAAAGTGTCTTAATCCTTGGGCATGTCCACCAAAGGTGAACTCTAATCCTCAAATTCGTCTGTTTTTCTTTAAGTTCAGTCATAGCAAGCGTCAACTTATGTTCATCAAATTGCCTTTGTAGGGCTGGGGCTCTCTTTCTCTTTCTCTCCAGTTGTGTTACTTTACATTCAGCAACAACAGCATTTTCCCTGGCTTCCTCCACAGTTTGCCGTATCCAAGTAGGTTCCTGTATCAATTTCTGGGTGGTTTCTGTATTGGTATTATTTATACTTTCTGTATTTAAGTTAATTTTAGTAGTTGAAACATCCACTTTCGCATTTATTGCCTCTTCTGTCGACATTCCTCTTGGTTTTAAATATACTGGTACAAAGGAAGCAACGGGAGGAGCAGGGGGGCCTGATGATGGACCTCTCCTGGATTGTTGCCAAATCCTCCCAGACCTTAATGTTTTGTCAGCAGTTGACGGGTCTGTTTTTCCTCTTCCATTTACCATAACACTCAAAAGATTCAAGGTCAGTCCCAGAGTTTCACGGTTTTTAACTTGCAGCTGGAAATTCCCCTAGCCCAGCTCTTGTAAAGCAACCGGTTTCAAAGGCTTCCACTAGGGGGAAACAGTTTCTATTTGTAATAGTCAATAGTATCCTCTTTTAAACCATCCAAAATTAGTTTCAAATTAGTTTCAATTTTCAGTTACTTTTATTCCTTTTTAAAGCAGTCGGATACAGTAGAAACAATGTATTTCTCTTGTTTAACTAGCTGTCAATGAACGTTCTAAACGCTGTCAATGAACATTCCAAAAGACATCAGTCCTGCTAGCAGCCCGTTTCCAGGGTCAGAGCGGTGGTGTTTTAAATCTCTTCGCTCTCTCCCGCAGGCATATTCAATCAGCAACTTCCCCCTCTCTTCTCCTGCCTCCAAGAGGGGGTTTAATGTTCTTTACCAATGGAAATTTAATCTTTTACAAAAGGCTTTTCAGGACTCTAGCTTGCAACTTCATTGCCTCAGTCTATTTACAAAAGGGAAGGCGGACTTCCTATTTTGAACCTCCCCGTTACGGTACCAAATTGAACATTTAGAAATCTAATTCTTCCGCTTCAGTTCTATTCACGGGTAATTACTTTAAAGTCAAATTGTCCGCAGGAAAAGGTCAGCGCTCTCTGGCAACAGCTATGCAGCTTCGCTCCGTGGAAGAAGCAGACGATTCGATGCACTGTGCCGCTCACCCCATGTCGCTCCGGAGCCCCCAAAACCCGGGGGTCCCCGCGAGTGGGGGAGGCGCAGAAGGTGCCCGCCGAATCCCATGCTCACAGGCTTCTCCCGCCTGTGATTTTAACGGGTCTCTGCCTTCGCCATGGCGGCCAGACCCAGATTCCCATGGAGCAGATTCCTCCCGGTCAGAGGAATTCTGCCATTGCCGGAGGCACCTCCCCGGAAGTCTTTAAAGGGGTTGTGCGGCTTCTGCAGGCTTTTGTGAGAGGCTTTTCCCAGGAAAGCCAGGAGAAGCCGTGCAGCCCTTTTAAAGAGGGCTGGGAACAGCCTTGTTAGCCTCTGCAGGACAGCGGGGCGAAGGCACCCCGCTGCCCTGGAGAGGCTTTGTGCGCAGCCGTCCCCAAGCTAGAAGAGCGAGACGGAGCCCTCCGTCTCGCTGTTCTGGCTTGGGAACAGCCTTCCTTTGTGCGCAGCCATCCCCAAGCTGGAAGAGCCAATAGAAGCCGCGCAGCCCCTTTAAAGAGAGGCGGCTTCTGCGGGAGGTGGGGAATACTCCCAGAGTTTGTTGGGGCTGG